GCAGGATTCAAAGCGGATAAAGGTAACCGCACCGAGTCGTGGCGCCTCTTTGGCCGATCGCGCGGCTCTCACTCTCTCTCTCTCTCTCTCTCTTGCTCTCCTTCGCTCTCTTTCTCTCTCTTTCTCTCTCTTTCTCTCCATCCTTCCTGGCCCGAGATAACCGATACCTCGAGCAAACAGCCGACGGGAAGCATTACGGGTACCGTGATGCTTACAATGTGCTCGGCTCTATGAATTCAACTGTACTTCCCCAGTTCGTGCGACCTTCGTCGTAATAGCTCCGAGGAACACGGACACCGTGAGCCGAATGGATTTCATTTCGCCAAGTAATTGCTCGAGAGGAGCACCTCGCACGGACCACTGCTTTATCTTCCTTCTTCGCCGAGGGAAATATCGCTTGACATCGGTCGTACGTTAAGAAAACACCCGTAACGCAGTCAAAGTCCGTGAAATTATCCAGCTTATATCTTTTCCAAACTGAAATCGAGAGGAATTCGTTGGATGCAGGATACATGGAAAGGAGATCATGGAAGCTATCAGCGACGGAGACAAAGGAACATGGGCGAATGAAAGGTGTCTGGTTCTGAACAGCGACGAGACGAGAATGATACGGGAGAGACACGGGCGAGGGAAAGCGAGATAATCGAGAAGGGTGGCAGATTGAGGGTTTTATCGACACGATCGAGGTAGGATCGATTGGAAACGGAGCGTACGCTATCATAAAGACAGGTCCCCGACGTAGTGAACGGAACGGCAGAAATTCCATGTTCTCGCATATCCCGCTAATGGCCTGCTCGAAGATCAACGATGCAGGATCGACGATCGGTGGAGATTTTTCGCGGTGCAGATCCACGGCAAAGCCTGCGGAGGACAGCGGCTCCAGCGAGTCATGGCGCCTCCCCATGCATCGCATTACCTATTCACGGGCGGAACGTGCGTTCTCCTATGGTGCACGCGACCATCCGCCAGTGTACACAGCGAGACAGCCATGGCGTCCTGCCGACGAGACCCAGCAATAACGGAGCGATCCAGGCGTTCGCAATTTTAGCGGAATTAAAATGCTAGGAATGCTGGCACGAAGAAAACGCGGCCGCAAATTGCACCGCGACCAACGTTTCAAGCGGTCGTGCTTACAATTGCCGGCAGTGTTTCTTCGTTCCGCCGATGCCGTATACTTCATCGAGGTCGCGTAAAAAAGGCAACGAAACACGAAATCGCGATAGGCCAGAGGAGGATCTATAAATCAGGCTTCGCCGCGCATTCGTTAAATCAATCAGGTTTACTGTTACAAGAGGAAACATACGCATCGGCGATGATTCGATTGTTACAGCTGTTTCACGTCGTCGACCCGATTTCCAAGCTGCGTTCCAGAAACGCGTCAGCGTTCTCCTCATCAGGGACAACGCGTTGGCGCGCTAAAAGCTACGGCCTCTCGATATCGAAGCGCACGAACTTGGCCCTGTTCGCGGCGGGTGCCATTGAACCCCATTGCCGTGGCAAATCGACTCGCAATTTCGCGTCACGCCGATTCGCTACTTTCTCCAATTTTCCTCCGTTGAGCGGGCGCGGGGAATACCAGGCGGAAAGCTGGAATTCCTTAAAGGACACCGGTGACTGCGTAGCCGCGGACGGAGGCAGGAGCAACACGCGAGAAGCGTGCAAAAGTGCGTGCGTATGCGTGACTAACCGCTCGCGCGCGGGTCAATGCCTCGGCTGTCCTCCTCGAGTAAGTATCTACCTACTCCGTGGCTACCTTCGCTACTACGTTATGCTTGTACCACCGCTCAAGATCGCGGGCCTGACGAGCACGCGTTCGCGACCGCACGTTCCGTATGCACGGGCCTGACGTTTCCGCCAGGCGGCCCCCTTTGACACGCGCAGAATCGCCGTGACCATACGGCTGGCCCGGTGAAACAACGTTTTTCAAGATTAATGATGATGAGCGCAGCCGGATTGGATCCGCCGCGACTCGTTGACAGCGCTTGCTCACGACGCGCACACTCTGGAAATCAAATCTACCATTCGTTGGGGCGGCACTCCGAGCCCTCCGGGCTTTTTCCTCCAACCTGCATGCAGACGTGCTATTGTATGACTCCATATTCCCTTTAGCGTCCTTCGCGGGTAAAAGAGTTATACCGTATTTCGTCTGTGACTCCATAACGCGCGAATTTTCCTCTAGATACCGAAAATACCATTGGTGTGTCGCGGGATCGTAATTCTCTCTGGGTACCATTTTCGACGGAGAGCAGCGAAATGAAATGTTATCTCGGTGAAGTTAGAGGTGCGAGTGTATCGTTACTCTAGTGTAGGATAGTGGATTAAATCTGCAGAGAGCCGAGATCTTGCGTGCGTTTTAAACGCGCGGGTTAAGTAGCCGCGAATGCGTGTAAGCTGGAATTATTTTCGAGATTTTAGAGATTCGTATGATCATTCGAGAGACGTTAAGATTAGATCGGCAGATTAGATCGAGGCTCGTGCGTTTGTTTTCCGGGGCGAGTATCATTCCTGTATAATAAATCGTAAAATGGCATTCCTTAATGGTACCTGCATCGATTGGCGCTCTCAAGGCGCTTTAAACTCGCAGTTACCTCGTCCTTTCCCTGTCAGAAGTTTATGGTGCTTGTATATAGAGCATCTTCGGAGAATTAACAATCCTTGCCGTAATATTTTAATGCGCGATAATTATCGCGAAACAGCAATTAAATGGCACGACGCTTAATTGAATCTCGCATGCGCGCCATATTCGCGGCGCTGTCGTCGCACACGTGTTAACGTAATAACCATAGCATAACTATAACCGCGAGGATATCGGCGGTATCTCAGGGGGAAATACGGGTTCACCAAACTCGAAACTGGTCAGGATATGTGATTCTACGTTTACCTTCATTATCAACAGTTTATGGTCCGATGCACTGTTCCTGTTACGCGTTAAACTGGATTAATTATTTTCAGGATTAATGTATGCAGAAGAGAATACTTCTATTTACCATCACAATCGGTAATCGCTACCGGGGATAATTAAAAATTCCGCGCTGTATCTCGCCCAGAGGGAAACTTCGGGTACAATGAACCCGTTTAAATCCAATTAAAGCTAATTCAGATCCTATTCGTTTCACTAACGTTCACCGTTCAATCGTTCCTTAAGAGCTCCATAATTTTCAAAGTTCGATATCCTTTCATCTCACCTCGGGTAGCCACGCGCTTGCGCGGTCCGAGATTGCGCAGGGACGATCGAGGGAGCAAAAGAATGCGTCGAATTTCGAAAACGCGACACACGCGAGCACCAATTGCCCTGCGAAGGTCCAAGCGCTGAAAACCAATTTCAACCGACTGGATTATAATACTTCCAAGTCATTATCACTGATAGCCATACTTACTGGAGGGAATTACCTGAATCGGCACGATTCCAGGCAACCCATAAGGTCAGGACGAGCTCTGGACGAGCATTACCGGGGTATTTCTGATCCAGTCAGCGAGATCGAGAAGAAGTAGCAGCCGGCCTTCTTTCGATCACTCGATACACGATCGTACGCCGCTTCGTGACCGTGGCAATCGTGACTCCTATTATTATCCTGGCTAACCCACAAAACGAAGTATCCGCGGCCTGTGTCCCCACGTTGGCTAGGCCTTCCGTCCGAGCGGAATCGCGTTGCATTACGTCGCATCGGACCGTGAAACGCCGATGCACAGTTTCATCCGGGCAAAAGATTATCTGAATAACAGGCTGCGCGTGTTAGATGTTATCGCACCTCTTGGCCGGCCATAAATACTTCAATCTATTAAATTTCAACCACCGACGATTAACCAGCTCCACGATGGATAGCCTCCGACCGGTTTATTTTCGGAGAAAATTCCAGGGTGTCCAAGGTTTGTTGCTTCATCACGTCGTAAGAGAGACGTTTACGTCGAAATTAGTATGTTCGCATGGCATAGACAGCGAGGGGGTCGCTGCGAGCGCAGGCCGCGTCACTCGTAAAATGGCCGACCCTACTTTCTGCCAAATCTCCGCCTGTCGATGGAACATCCTTCCCTCTTACTACGTGTTCTCGCGTATTTTACGTCACGTAACTCTTCCGTGAGAATCTCACAGGTACATTGATCCTGAGACGTGGAAAAAGCGCGTGTACTATTTTTCAGGGCCGTGAATCAACGAAGATGGGTCTATCAGGGTGTAACTGTCATCGCGCAACGCAGGATGCGTCCGCTAATTCGCGCCTTATCATTTGACAGAACAGCATGAATATTCCGTGGCAAGGTCGTACGCGTTGCTGCCCGCCATTAATCTAATCAGCTTCTGAATCCTTGATGAGGTGCGAGAGTCATTAATTAACAAGATTGTTATTGTAGACTCGTTAGGCTAATTGACGGTGTTTAAGCGAGTGGTTCGGCCAGAATGTACGAAGCGGACCGGCTTACGCGATAGATAAGAATTTCTCGTAATAGCCACGACTACTTCCCACGATCAATTGCGTGAATGACAGCCGTGGACCGTGTAACGCGTCACGATCCAGCGGAACAGTCTTAGACCGGACGCTGTGCGAATGCGAATGAAACGAAAGAGATCCACGTTGGATCTGGTCTTCGTTGCGAGGCGAAACGAAACGAGATAGCCAGGTACCGTTTAAGAATTGCACGGTTAAAATTCCACGGGCTCGTTCCGTAGGATGAACGATCCAGCTGACAGTGGACACAGCTGCCCAATTAATCGTGGCGTTGACCGGAGCTAGCTAGCTCGCGGATGAGGACGAAGCGACGAGAAGGACGGGGTAAACCGGTGAACGATCGGTTCAAAGTACCATTCGAAAGATCGTTACCCTTGTCAGGAATATCCTTCGTGTTGCTCGTACCCTAGTGGTACCTGTCTCGGCGTGGAGTTGAAAATAAAGATCGTCCTTGTTTTGTTTGTTCCAGCGAGACGGACATGGCTCCGAACGCGGAGGAGGAGTTGCTGGTGGTAAAGCCGTGGGGGCCTCAACCGGAAAAGGTATGTCAGTGGTGTCTTCTCTGGATCGAACGGATCAACCTGGCGTAGAAGGGGACCTAATCGTTTAACTTGTAACGACGATGCGACGCGTATTAGAGTATCAGCAGGATGCTTTCGATTAGCATATCTTTTAACGTTCGGTCGGTAAACAGAGTACAGGTAGGCGTTCGCGGGCTTGCCGGTCGTTTTGTCTTTACGACTCCGTGAGAATCTCGTCGTGTTCAGGGGGTTCGATAAACGACCTAGAAACGTGTTAAAGGAAAGAAATTATGGGTAGTTAAGCTCGCGGAATCAGCTTGTTTTCTGTCATAATCCGGCCAGTTCTAATCTATTTGTCGTAACCGTCGGTGCAAATAGCTATATTATGCATGCATCCCGTTCTCGACGGATTATTTTTCACCGCGATCGATTTACTTCGCGTGAAGGATGCCAAGGTACGAAGAAGCATCGAGGAAAGAACCGAAGATCACGGATCTCCTCGTAGACTATCCTCGAACGGATGAATTCCGTCGTCAAAGGAAATTCCTGCGCGTTGGTATTCGCCAAACGTTTTTCCACCACCGGCGTGCAACCACGGTTAAAGGATCGAGCGTTAATTTATAACGCGAACGCGATTTCCGTTCCTGGATAAATGAAACAATCTACTCGGCGAACAGTTCCATAAATATACGCGTTCGCATAGTTTCGCTGATGAATGGCGAGCATCGCATACCATCCAGGTTGCTCGTTTATAAAACACGGTTTTGTCAAGCGCTCGCCCTGTCAACCGTTTGATTATTAGCACTCGCCTTCGAATCCTCCGACCGATCATTCACTTCGCGCTTAACCGAGCCACGCGTTTAATAACCAGGCATGCATTAACATGCGCCAACTCGGATGCATTGAATTCTGCAGTTCGTAATGGCTTCGCCGGCATTTATACGCGTCGTGAAGCTGCGAGGGAGGTAATAAGTCACGGATAATATGATTAATATCGAGGAGAGGCTGCGGCGCATCGCGTTAACCCCTTCGAGGTGCACATATTTACACTCGGGTTAAATCCTTATTTTTATGCTCGCGCCGCGTGATTAACGGGGATAATCCAACGTCGAGCGTGTTCCCACTCTAAGAAATCGGACATCGTTGCGTAAAAAGCATCTTATCTTATCCCCGAGACGGGTCACGAGTGACTCTTGACCTTAATTATCCGAGAACCTCGTTGTCCCTCTTTTCTTCGTATATTACGAGCCAAAGAAACACCGTGTCCCGCTAATGAGAGATTTACGTCATTACAATAGAATGATTAACGAGTCGTTCCACCGTGGTTAGACACCCAATGGAAATTGTTCGGGAATGCTCGTGAAAGTCGCGATTTTTACCAAACCGTCCAACTCTTCGCTCTAATCGCGAAAAAGGGGAGACGAAACGGGGCGCGAGCTCGAAATCGGATCAACCGCGACGTGGGGACGGGCAAACCTTCCATCCGGGTACTTCCCCTTGTTCTACGTACCTCTAAGCACTCGTTGGCTTTTGTACGACCGCCGCGGTTGTCATCGAAGCGAACGATACCGGCTCATTGACAAGCTGGTACCCGGCGAGTACTTAGCAGGCTCAAGAAAGCGTGACGTCCTCGTGTATCTAGGTTACACGTAAGTTTGTTTTGTTTCGCATGAATCCGTCTAAGGCCAACGAGTATTCCATAGCGCCAACCCTTACTCTCCGCCATTCTTTCCGAGCTGCCTAATTACTTGCATAATTGCAACGCTTACGACTGAAAGCTCTCCAACTAACGATTTCCTTCTCGCAGATCCCGTTTCACGTTCACTCGGACGAAAAGGGGAAGAAAAGAAAAGAAGCCTAGGCATGATTGATCTATGCACACCTCTACTCAATCATGATCGTCGTTAGACGATTTACGTCCATGTCCGCGCGGTATCTCGCGCGCGCGTGCATCCCGGAAAGGAACTCTAATTACTTTATCGTTTTTCAAAAAATACATCGTTACCAACGAGCCCCGTATTCATCAAACGATGATGGTCCATCAGCGTCCTCCGTCGATTTCAGTAACGAACAAGCCTATGATTGATCGCGACTGTCGACGACCTGCAACGTCCTACGTACGTCTAAATAGATTCAGTATCCGAGCTGAAACGAACTTTTCCACGGGATCGTTAGACCGTGGCGTTCTTTACGCCTCTCCTTTTTCGCGCTCGCGAGAGAGGCAGTAACCACGAAATAGAAACTCGGTTTCACGGCTTAAAACCGAAACGATTAACCGCGCGTAGCAAACCGCGAGCGGTTTCATTCGCGTTGGATACCCGTGGTATCCCTGAGCCGTGCTTTAGAAAGCTGCCACGCGACCTTCCCGCCAAATCGACCGACAAATCGTTCCTAAATTCCCTATTCCGTTCTGGCATTTCCTTCTCATCCACTTCGTGCTTTACGATCGATCCTTTGCAATCGTAAGTAGATTCGCAGGCTCGTCATTGCAACCTATTTACCGCGTTAGGCTGTTATGCAACGTGTATAGATAACATGGTGTACCGTGAGGGAATTTTTGACCTGGGGAATTTATACGATAAATGCTCGGACATGGTATGTCTCCTTAAGGCTGCAACTACCGATCTGTAATGTGTACTAAGGGATAATGTATGTACATAGATAAGGGGATGAACGAAGGCTATGAAACGTAGTTAAATGAGTATGCTAAAATCAGTAATGGCGTTTCCACCTGAATAAAGTGTCTGAAACTAGGCATTCTTGTTAGTTTGGCCACTTTAATGTCGAAAGTATTGTCAAATCAGGACCGAGAAAGGGAAAGCCTGGAATATAGCGTGTAAGTCGAATAATGGAGTTTCATGGGGATTTTCATCGTCTTGGAAACGTAACTATAGCGTGTACTCCCTGTCGAAGGCGGTAAATTCATTTCCACGATCGATCCGTGTTTCAACATGGTGGAGTCGGACCCCATGGGCGGCGTAGCCCGCACGGTAACCTATGGGCCACGAGACGATAATCACTGTAATCTCATCGATTTACGGCGTGGAAGCGGCGTGAAATTAACCTCGCTCCAGCTTTTTCACTCCCTCGCATGAATATTTCATCCGCGACGGAAGGCGCGCGAGCATAATTTCCGCGGAAACCGCGATTCGTTGGAGCGGTAGAAAATGGCAGCATTCGGTCAACACTCGTCTCGGTAGACTCTCGACGCATTGCCAATGTGGAAATTGTTGGTCGTTACCCAATATTATGCCGTCCGCTGTTACACCGCGAGGCAATGGCGGTTAAATCACCAGCGTTTAATTACGGTCGAACCGTTTCGGTTGCGCGTATTTTATTTCGTCGTAGAGATCGCAAAGAGATAAATCAGTGGCAGTGGCTGCCGGCTTTGTTCGATCACGCTGCCCTCCCTTTTACCTCTTTGCCTTCTGTCCAGCCAGACGGACGCGCAATTATGTCTTACGGTCTTGCGATTTTCTTTGCAGGAGCGATTAAGACCACCTACGTACAACGCGGAGGACTACGCGATCGCCCTGAGACGATGGGGAAGACGTCCATTAGGAAGTGTTCAAGACTCGCAGGGTACCCTGCCGTCGACAACCAGTTCGAGTTCCGGTTACGCTTCCGGAAGCGGCGAGATGACCTTGAGACAATTCACCTCGGTCAGCGAGCTGCTGAACAAGCTCAGGGCGGACCTCAGGCTGGCGTTTCCAAGGTTGGTGGACACGATCCAGCCATTTCTACGTTGCCACTTTGCAATTCCTTTGCCATACCGCTAAATTAATCAGACGTCTGATTACCAATGCAAATCGCGCGTTACCTAAGCCGATCTCGATCATTCCACTTGGAAAGTAGCCTTGGTGATCGTGAAAATACCGACAGGTTTACGACCAACGGCAACGGTTGTTAATTATCAAGGTGTATCGTCGGTAAAATCGCGGAATTCTTTTCCTCCTCGCGCGATACACCCTCGCGAGGATTCCCTTGGAAATTCGCGTTCTCGGCACAGCGGTGTTAGTGGAAGGAGCTTCGCTTTCGAATCGAAACAGATGATCACGACGGCACACGAGGGTACACGACACCCGGAAGCACGTGTACTTGATTGTCCGTGAACAATTAAAATAAGCTATCGTACGGACTGGATTTACGCTCTCTCGCTGGAACTAACGACAAGAACACCTCGAAAATTCCCGATACTAATTGAACAGGAAGAACAGGCACGAACGGAGCCGGATTTACAGTTACTTTTTATACGTATCCTTTTCTTTTACGAGAGAACGCGAGTTCCGATATGCTCCCCACCCCCGTGGCTCGTAAAAATTCCTCCTCGATTTGGCTGCTGATTAGCCGACGGTCATTAAACCTTCGCTCGTTAGGAGGCAAAAGGTAAACCTTGCCCACGTGCCTGCGCGGTATCGCTGGAAACGCACGAACCTATAGTTTTTCCCGTAATTAATCGCGATCATGCGTTTCGACTTGTTAGCCTCTATCAGTTGCTCCTCGCGGATCCAGTATCTCTGCTTCCGAGGAAAATTGCGCAAAAATTCATCCTCCGTTCCCGGTCTTCGCGTAGTCTCGCGCGATCCTCTTCGTTAACTATCCCGATTCGATGCTCGTATCTGATTTTATTTGAGAATTAAATTAACCAGTCTGAGCGAGAAGCGAAAGCCATCCGTCTGTCATTCCTGGTCCGAGCGTGCGTGAATCATCGGACAAAAAGCGTCCTAGGTTTCCTGTGGTGTCTCGGCTTTTTGCGATATTGCAGACCGATAGAGAGCAACAAAGAAACGGGTTTTACTTGGTGTTTCTGAGACAACGCGGGGATTACAAGAGGATCAACGCGTATAAAGCCTTGGTACAGCGTTCAACGAAGGGCGAAATAATAGTCTCGTCCCCGTTAGGCGCCAGCATGATTAAAGATCGGACGTAAACGTTGAGATTTGTTCGTGAATGTCGGTGGCTCATGCTGTACCCCCGCGTGCAAGATCGACGATGTTTGTCTCGGATTGCCCGAAGCATGCACGCTGGTATTCATTCATAACGCGTGTAATCGCAGCCCCTGGACACGCGTCTGTAATTGACTGCAGCGATAGTCTAAGGATATCAAAGTCCTTTCACCATTTTTGATCGGTATCGACGAGCAAATACAATAGGAATTACTTTCGCTTCTCGGTCACTTTAACGCCTTCCACGGTTTATTACCGCGGCAAATTTATTCCATCTATTCCTCTCGAGACCGAGCTTTCCTTCTCTGTGTTAGTCCCTGTTATGCCGCTCGATTTATAGATACAACACTTTCGGTTAATCACGAAAATTCGCGTTCACTGTCTTCGTCGCTGTGTTAGAGGATGTGGACCTATTATACACCATGACCAATCAGACCCGCATTCCTCACCACTGCTGACTTACCAGCAGCGCACGCGTTGCACCTCCGGGGTATACTAGAATTCCGATAACCCGCCATGTTTGCGGGTTCAACGAGATACACGCGGGATAATCGAATATCCCGAATTACTGGACTGTACCTGTAACTCGAGGAAACGTGGAGAATAATTTAAAAATTTATCGTAATTAACATATCAATGCGACTAATTTGCCGATAGTTCAAATTCCATGTTTCTGTTCTACGATACTATGGCCGAGGGATCGAGGAGCATATGAATATTTCGAAGACTTTTCTTTTCAAAGATCTTTATTGGACTGACTGCTCTTCAGCTCGAAGTGCTCGGCACACCTCGACCGATCGTCTCGCCATGGATAGCCTTAAGTGTCTTAGACCTAACCAGTCGGAGACACTGCCTGTCACCTGACTGTTTACGTCGTCTACTCTAAAGATCGCTTACAATACTCTTCCCGTCCATGTAAAATAAGGATTCCAAGAAGTGCTTCTGAGAATACGATGCCCCAAAGCATGGTTACCAAACGACATCCGTAAGACACGGTCACGATCGGGTCTGAGACTCTACTGTACCAGTCTGCGACTAGACGTAACGAAAGAGAATGTAGAGTAGAGGGTTCAACGAGACCGCTGTTTTTTCCACGATCGTTCTTTCAATCCACGAGATAGGAGAGATGCCGTAAAGCGATAGACCTGTTCCATATCTCGTCTGCGGCTACGATTTCCGTGCTCCTCCTTATCCAGATTCGTATCGGGCTTCACGAGATCGAATCACCCTCGCGAGCACTAGTCAATCCATTAGCGTTGACTCTTCATTCGCGACTCTATTTTTCTCCCCTGATAAGCTCGTCGATCTCGTCTCGTCTCCGTTTCCGTGATTTATAATCCCAGACCACCCAGAACGCGTGGACTCGGATCGCAAGGAGAGGACGTGATCGCGAATACAATCCTCGCGGCGTAGACACGTAGCCTACGTGTAACAGAGTATATCGGGCAAAAGGAAGGCTGGCGAAAAGGCGGGAACCGTCCATGCAATATTCTCGAACTAATTCTTGCCCGATCCGCGTGCTCGTTTACCCTTATTAAGCGCAATTTCGCCGCGCGCATCGGCGCACAATTTGCGGCCAACGGATATACGAAGCGGCGAGAGCAAGAAACACACCGGGCTGCATAGATGAGAACGATTCTAATCACACGACCCGACGAATGTAAAAGGACAGAGAGGCAAGAACGGCGTGTATATGCAGCGGCGCGCCGCGACGTGGCGTCCAGTAGCCCGGTCGGGATTCCCCGGGTAAAAAGGACGCACGCATGCGCAACACCGAGCACCGCAGCCGCCGTTTAACCACGCGACCGCCGCAATTTGCGACCGGTGGAGGCCTGGGGCCGTTCTAAAATTAAAGTTACCGTATACCGTGTGACCGTTTCGTCGAGTTCCCATAGCACGTCGGATGATCCGGAACGGTTCGGTGATCCTTGGATCCTCGCGGGATGGACGTGCTGGCCAACCCCGTTACACCGATTCCGCGGGACGAAATCGGTCACGGCTTTCATCGTCGCAGTCACCGATTCGTCCACGCTGTCGATGATCGCACACGGACATTCTAGAAACGGCACTGTCCCACGAAGACCATATGGTCGACGCGAGCGTGTCCCACATACTACGCTGGATGACTTATAATATGGGCAAGCTTCCTACGGCGTTGGCGAGCGGATAAACCCGTAAGTAGCGGCCCCGGATAAACGAATGCCGATATTACGGATAACTGTACAGCCCGGCTTGACGTGCTCAATGCGCAAATCGATCTGGATGAGGCGCATCCTCGATTTCCGCGATCCCAGAGCCGCGTATCATTTGTCGGGATCTTATTAGACCGTTTAACAGAGGTTTTTTCCTCTGTTAGGCGTAGTTCAATTGCGCGGCGTCGACGACTCGGCTGACGGAATCGATTTATTCTCCACCAGGTCGTAATAATTACCTGTCGAGATCGATTACGCCGATCGGCCGTGATCTTTTTCCTCGCCGCGCTCGAGGATGAATGCGCGTGCTATCTGGAGCGAAGAAACGTACGCGTGACGTTAAGAATGATATACCCGTTTCCAAGTCGTTCTTGCTTTCTTAATATCTGTATGCAACTTGCATGGACAAACCGAACCGCGACTTTAGACGTAATCACAGTGGACGGAATATACATACACGGGCTGCATACGAGTTCACGCGGTTTCTGGAGTACTGGCACGAAGACTTCGGATTTGGGTTAACGAAGACGTTGGAATTTCTTTGATTTACGGTTCGTGTAAATTGCCAGGATTTTGCGAAACAAACAGCAAGACATCGAGGAATTTTTCCTTTCCCCGACGAAACTTGCCATCATCGGAACGCACTTTCATCGGAAATGATCTAGAGTCTCTATCATCGGAGGATCATCAAGGTTTGAGGATTCGCGTGTGCCTTGGGACAGGCCGTCAACGAAACCTAACGTGTTATTACAGCGTACATATGCTCGTCGAAGCGAGAAAGGAAGAAAAGGATTGCCGAGGCATGACGAGTTATTATAAGCTATTAACCGAAGACTCGGCGTTTAATTAGACGTTCGCGTTGCTCTAATTAAATAAGAGCTTCTCGATTCCAAACTATCCAGTCTCCTTCCTTTTCCACAACGCTGCTATCGAAAGCTTCGGAACGGAAGTCTCCGATATCCTGGCAAGACACGCGAGCCTTTTGTTACTTATTATGCGATTCAGGCTTCGTTTTCATTGATATTCCGTGTCTTTCGTCCATCGTTGACCGTTTAAAGGTCCTGCCTTTTAGGTAACAGCGCTTGAAAGGATTCCCTGGTCCATTCATGAAACCTGCACTCTTTGTATGCACGAGGCTTTTCTGTCAGAATGAAAGGTCCTGGTCGGTGAATCTTGCGTTTAACATTGACCACGAATGGCCAACCAAATACTTTCTCCTTTCTTTCAAAAGGTCCCATTCTTTTCTGAGAACCCTCGCTGATTTAAAGGCTCAATATTCGGAATTTTCGTTTTTGAGACTTCTCAGAACGCGCAGTTGCCTTTGGTAAAATTAATTTCCAAAAATTATTAACTATAATAAAATTATATACTATAATTAGCTATACATGGTGAATCGGCAGCTCCACGTTTGCTGTCGAGTTGCAAACTTTCATACGACTCTATCGCAAAAGTATACGATAACACGTGTATCCACGCTTTGACCACTGATCGATAAATCTTCGAAGATCGATACATCCGTTAGAAAACAGCGCGTGATTTATTCATCGCTCGCGATCGTTCTACTTAAATCCTCAAAT